CTGGGCTGGCTTCTGAGCGCCTTCTTTCTCCTCCTTCCGCACCCTGGAGGGGCATACTGCTGCTGACGCTGGAATAAAATGCAGCCTCTGTTTCAGAGACAAAGAACAGAAAGGCTCCTCCGGTCAGCTGTCCCTCTTGGCTGGCAGGCTCCCTGCTCTCCCCTAGGCCTTTCCCGAGGCTCCCAGGTGTTTTCGCTGGATCTTAAAGGCATGTTTGACCGGGACAAACCCCAGCAGTTTCCCTGTTCCTGGATGATGTTCCTTTGCTGGGATGGGGCAAGGAAGCACCGGGGCTGGGAAGGAAGCCTGCCTAAGCTGGGCGCTGGAGCTGGTGAGAGCTTGTATTTGCACAGCAGTGTGAGTGCGCCTGTACATGTGCAGTTTCCGGAGCAAGTGCATATGTGCGTGTGCTAGGATGGGAAGAAACCATCCTAGAGTGAGGATATGAGAAACAAAGTGTGTGCACGTACCAGCTGCAGTGGGACAAAGTTTTGTACTCTTGATTTTGGAGCTGTGTGTACTAGTGTGAGGGTAACATTGTTACAAACGTACCGCCTGGGGTGGGTGTGCACGAGGAAGCCCAAATGTTCCCGTGCACTGAGTGTGAGGGCACGTGGACAGGCATGTGTTGGTAGTCGCGGGCACGGGCGTGTTCAGGAAGGCACCAGCACACGTGCCGGTATGTATGCACCAGACGGTGAGTGCACACGCGTGCACCAGCGCGTGCGAGAGTGCGGGTGTGCGTGTGAGCACCAGCCTTCGAATGAATGCGCGCGCACCACTGGCACCCCCCCACCAGGCAGAGCAGGTTGCCATGGGAACGCGCCGCTGCTCGAGTTAATCATTTCCTGTGGAAAGTGTGCGGGAGGGGCGGGCACGGGGCGGGCCGAGCCGAGGAGGCGGTGGCGTGGAGCTGCCTCCCGCCGGCTGGCCGTGCCGTGCCGGGCCGGGCCGAGCCCCGGGCGCTGCGGCGACACCGGGATCCTGCCTCCGCCAGGCGGGTGAGTCGGGGCTTCAGCGGCTGAGCAGTCGGGCCCCACCCAGCCCCGACCGGGGCGTAGCAGCCGGCTGATTCTGCCCGCGGGACCCCTCCGCCGGGACCTGGTGGGGCGCTGGGAGGGCCGGGCCCCGGGACCTAGCTGTCCATGGGGTTCCCAGGTTTCTCCGGGGGAGTGGGGGCGGCCTGTCCCCTGGGATCGGAGCAGCCTGGGGACCCTGTTCAGATTGTAACTGCGAGAAAGAGCGCTTACCTACCTGAGAGCCGCTGGTCAATTAGCACCGCCCCTTCCCCTGCAGGGGTCCCCCGCACCCCCAGGACACCCTGGAAAGCTGTCCTTGAGGTCCCTCCCACCACGTCCTCTGGGCAGTTGGCTTTCCCCTGTCAGGCGGAGGGTGGGGTGCGCCAGCCCTGAGGTGGGGAAGCAGGGCCTGGGCAGTGTCCTTCCAACACTAGGAATCAGCCGTTGACAGCTGCAGCCCCGGAATCCCGGCAGGGAGGGGGGGCCCAGAAGCTGCCCCCTGCAGCCCCCATGCCCGGTTAGAGCCACAACTCGGAACTGGGCTGGCTGGCACAGGGAAGGGGCCTGGTCCCGTCCCGGGAGATTTTTAAAACGGAAGCTGTATATAAATTCTGAAGTACCATTTGTCACCCCGACCCCACAAGACATCTGTCTCAAGGTTGGGGGTTGTGGCCACCCCCTGCCTTTCCCGTTCCCTGGCTTTTTCTCAGCCCTAGGCTAGGTGAGTACTAGGCTATTCCCTCTGCCCTTGACAAAGTAGCCATCTCCTTGGCCAGGCAGAGTCATTTGCTAGGAATGCAGCCTCAGAATGGGGCTCTGGATTCGCAGTGATTGGACTTAAGGGACACGGGGTGGTGAGTTCTGCTGCCGGTAATGGCACCAGGGAGCAGAGGCTTTGAAATCTGGATTGCCCTGGAAAACCCAGGATGTTTGATGTGGAGCAGGGGAAGTCCCAGCTCCTGTCCAACCCTCCTGCCCCCAACTCTCCCAGAGGGACAAGCCTTTCCCAGTAGCAGTCTGGGGGTGGAGTGCTGTGAAGTCTTTCCCTCCAACTTTGTCCCTGGTCTAGGGCAGTGGGGAGGGCTGCAGCTCTGTGTCCTGGCCCAAAATGAGGGGCAGATGCCTTCTCTCCCAACCAGGCCCTCTACATTCCCCCTCCACTGGGAGCAAAGTCACTGAATAACAAAAATTTGGATCTCTGAGTGTATGCCAGCATTGTTCTGAATACTATATATGCATTGTCTAATCTTTAGACCAACCTTCTAAGGTGGAGTTGTTCCCATTTTATGGATGGTGATAATAAGGCACAGAGGCAAAGTTCCCAAGGTCACATGTCTACAAAGTGGCAGAGCCAGGTTCTGAACCAGTCCACCTCCCTACCCCATGACTCCTAGGTCCACAGAGGTCCCAGGACTCAGGTTGGGTATCAGAGGCCCATGCAACGAGGCGAGACAGTGCAGAACCTCTTTCTTGGCCTGCAACCTGAGCTTCCTTGGGATTCCTTGAAATTTTTGACCTTCACATCCCTCCAGCTGCTAAATTCAGCTGCTTTTTCCTTTTGGGGATCAGCACACACCCTTCCTCTTTCTTCCTGACATCTTCCTGGCGGCCGCTCTACTTCCCTTCCTGATAGCATAGAAAACGGTCTCCCCCACCCCTGCTGATCTTCCTCCCTTCACTGTGGAGTCAGCCCTCAGTGCCTGGCACCATCTCACCTTGGCACACAGGTGCACCTGCCTCTCCTTCCTTGCCCCTCGTGATGGGGCTGGGTTTTGCCCAGCTCTGCCTCACACAGCCCGGAGAAGGGCCAAGAGTCTGCACCTTTGGCTCTCCCCTCCACACTGCCACTTCATTTACTCAGTGGTGCTGGGCCACAATTTGGATCAGGCTCTGCCCTGTCCTTCAACCACATTCCTGTCCCCTTCCAGTGAGAAGCACCCAGGAACAGCCTACTTCAAGCTGCTTCCTCCGTCAAGGAAGGAGGAGACCATGATGCTGTTCTTCCAGGTTTTAGCTCCAAAACATCAGAGACCAAAACTTCTGGCCTCCCACCCCTGCACTCCCCCTCTACCCCACCACTTCTTAAACTCCATTCTTTCCTGCACCTCTGTCTACCCAACAGGCCAACTCCCCTGTTCTAAATTCCACAGCCTCTCAGTTCATCCTCTCCCTCCCAAACTTCCCCCAGGAGAAGGAAGTAGCTGCTTCCTCTGGCTCCCACCCCACTTCCTGAGTCTTCCTCTGCCCTCCTCTGTGTGATTCTCTAAAAGGACCCCCGGGGCTTTCTGCCCATCTTTCTTCCACATTGACATGGCCACCTGACTGTCCTTTCCTTCTCCCTCACTCTCTAGTCCCTTATGAGGACTGTGGAGTGCCCCATGCTCCTGGCACTCTCTGATTTTCCTTCACCAGCTTCCCTTCCCACCCCTGGACGGAGCCCTGGCCTCGCCTAGTTACCACGTTTCTTGCTCAACCTTTGGGGTTGTACCCTTACCTTTGGCAGCGATGGCCTTTTGCTCTGGGTCTTGGTGTCCTGACCTGACCTCTCTTCCAAGCTTCAGTGGGAGTGTTTGTGGGTGTTTGTTTCAGGATGCTCATCCGGGGAGCCATGGTGAGCTCCTGGGGTGGGTGCAGCTCAGGCCATGTGCTGTGGGCCACAAAGGTGGATGTACCCTGAGCCCTGCAAAGGATGGGGAAAGTGGCCCACAGCACAGGTAGCTCCATGGGAAGTCCCTTGGGTGTCCCTAACTCAGTATTAAAACCAAAACCAGGGGCTGGGGATATAGCTCAGTTGGTAGAGTGCTCGCCTCGAATGCACTCCAAGCTGACTTTCTGTAAGTGGCTTCACTGAATCTAGAACTGTAGCTCAGTCATCTTAAATGTCCTCAAGGCTGCTCTGCACACAGTAGGTGCTCAGTAAAGCAGTGAACGCACTGGATGTGGTGGCCCACACCTGTAATCCCAGGGACTTGGGAGGTTGAGGCAGGATGATTGCAAGTTCAAGGCCAGCCTCTGTAATGTATTGAGACCTTGTCTCAAGAAAAAAGGGCTGGGGATATAGCTCAGTGGTGGAGTGCCCCTGGCTCCATTCCCTAGTTCTGGGGGATGGGGAAAGTGAATGTTTGCCGTCTCTTCTGTTTGTTTGTTCAGTTCACGAGGGACCTGCAGGGCTCTCTCTGTTGGCCAGAGCTCCCCACCCCACCTCTGTTCCCCACTACCTTTGGCCTCCATGTATCCTTTCACACCGTGAGGGTTTATGAAGTGTTTATCTCCCTTCTGCCTGAAAGCTTTGAGGTCACATCTCCCCTAATCAAACAGAACTTCTAGGAGGAAGTCCATGGGAAGCTGCCTATGGCCCTTCACACATTCAATAAATAACTATTAAATGGAGAATGAGTGAATCTTGGTGTCTCAACACCTGGCAGGGTTCTGCCATGCCCTTGGCTCAGAGGAAGGGTGCTGGGGTGCAGGACTGACTGAATTGTAAGAGAATTGGCTGGCCACAGTCCGGGTTCTTCTGAGCCCCTCCTTAGTGAAATGCTAATGTTCAGAGCATTAGCTGAGGCAGAGGAGCCTGAAGGCTAGAGGTTAAGCCCATGGCTGGTGATGATTAGAAAACGAGAGGTCTCCCAGAAAAAGGGCAAGACTTACCAGGATGTTGCCAGCTCCCAGTGCTTCTTCCATGTGGGGCAGTGGCCCGCCATACCTTCCTGCTGCCAGGCTCGGGAGGAGGGGCTCAGACGTGAGGTCTCTTCAGAGTGCCCCAGACACATCTGAGCACTCCATATTCAGGAACAAGCACCCCCCAATGGAGAAAGAACCCATTTCGTCCTGCCAGCCCAGGGTCCTTGGGAGATGTTGCAACTGAGGCTGCAGGGCTGGGTAACAGGTGACCCATCCTTCACAGACCCTCCAGACTTTCCAGGGTGCCCCCAGCCCTCTTCAAGCTCTCTTCCCGTGTTCTCTCCGCAGGCTGCCCGGCACCCAGAGGAGGCTGCTGAGCCCCGGGCCATGGTCCCCTCTCGCAGGACGTGGAACCTGGGAGCCACGCCCTCACTGCGGGGCCTGTGGAGAGTGGGCCGGGCCCGGGAGCCCGAGCCGGGGATGGCTCGCCCCGCCCCAGCCCCAGCCAGTCCCGCCGCCCGCCCTTTCCCACACACCGGCCCGGGGAGGTTGAGAACTGGTGAGTCCGCATTTTTAAAATGCCTCTTTATTTCCCTTCCTTCCTCCAGATACCAGAGATGAGACTGAGGTTCTCGCCGGCTCCTAACCTCAGTCGGAGCTGTCAGGTAATTACAGGGTAACCGGCCCGGCCGGGCGTGGAGCGCGCTCCGGCTCCTTCCTGCGCCCCTGCCTGGAAGGAGGCGGCTGGAGCGAGCGGGCTGCCTCGACCGTCCTAGGGCAGGGCTCAGCCCGTTCTCGCTCGCCCGCCAGGTCGGGGCCCTGTGATCTGCTGGTGGCCTGCCGGTGGGCGCGCCGAGTCTCTGCCAGAGGCTGGTAAACAAGGTAGGTGAAGCGACTGCTCGGCCCGGCGCGGACACTTGATCCCGCCTGGGCTCGCCCCGGACGGACGGCGCGAGGACTGAGCCCCGGCGCCCCGGAGCGCGGCTGGCGGGGTTTGGGTGCTGTGCGCTCAACTTAAGGTCCACTTTGGCTTGTGTGGGGACCCTGACAGCAGGTGCACGGTGAAGAGGTTCAGGGCTCTGGGTCCCTCCGGGCCCCCTGGGGAGCTGTCAGAGCCAGCTTGTCTTTTCTGGGTCATGTCCCCTGGTGCAGGAACATCAGGAGTGAGTAGCTCCTCTGATTCCAGGTGAGGCTGGATTGTCAGGGCTGGGGAGCTGCTCATGACCCTTCTCCGAGCTAATGTGTGGGCAGATCACCCAGAGAGTGTGGGAGATGGGGCTCTACAGGTGAGGTGCCTTCAGGGAGGGATTTGCCGTCTAGCACTCCTGATTGACAGGGACAGGGGCTTAGTTTGCCAGTTTTGACCCTCTAAGCCATTAGGTCCAAATTTCTCAGTGTACAGAAAGGGAAACTGAGGACCAGAGAGGGCAGACTCCTGCCCACCCCCCCACACACTCACACTCAGACCACATTTTTAACTTATTTATTTATTTATTTTTATATGGTGCTGAGGATTGAACTCAGTGCCTCACATGCGCTAGGCAAGTGCTCTACCACTGAGCTACCACCCCAGCCCTCAGACCACATTTATGTCATCAGTGACAGTCAGAGTGATTCCTTCCAAGGTCTCCCAGCAATTGGGGTGCCTGGGACTGGCTGCTCCCTAGCATCCAATCCAGGTTGGAATAACCTGGAGACCTCCGGGAAAGGCTGGAGCTTGTATGTCAGGTGGATCTGGTTGTCTGAAAAGGGTAGGGGATGTTCTCCACCCTGTGAGGTTGTCGTCAGGATTATAAATGTAATATGAATAAGTATGGCTGTTCTAGTTTAAAAAAAAGAAAGAAAACAAAAACATTTTCCCTTGGAAAACTTAAAAAAACAAAACAGAAAAACATTAAAAAAAGGAAAATAAGTTGCTGGGCATGGTGGCACATGCTTGTAACCACAGCTACGCAAGAGGCCAAGGCAGGAGGGTCACAAGTTCAAGGCCAGCCTGGGCTAGTGAGACCCTGTCTCAAAACAAAAAGGGGATGTAGCACAGGGGGAAATTACCTCTGGGCTCTATCCCCAGTATGGCCAAAGAAAAGAGAAGTCAGTGGGCATTCTGTATAACTCTAATGGTGTGTGCACGCATGTGTATAGGTGTTTTGAGACAAGCGTTATGACCACACAGACTTTTACCCACTTAAAAATTTAAGACAAAAGTCAAACAAAAGCCTAGGTGTGAAATGCAGGCAGAGCGGCAGCCCCTGGGCAGGATCTCAGCCGACTGAGCCCCTGTCCCCACCACCTCCTAGTGCCCTGCAAGGGGTGACGTGGGACTTGAACATGTGGGACTTGAACACTAGCTCCACATGACTCTGGGCACGTTCTTAACCCTCCTGCTCCCCACCTCCCCTGGTGGTTGTGAGGAGCTGCTGGCAATTGCAGTCCTAATGGGCTGGACTGGGGGCACTTTCTGGGTGCTGGGCACTTGGGGGTTCTTCTTGTGCCTCATCCCATTTGATCCTCAGCAAGGCGCTGAGGTTGGTTTGTTATCCCCATTTGATGTCAGGCAAACAGAGGATCGGGAGGCCTGCAAGACCTGAAAGGCACACAGCCCTGTGGCTGGCACTCAGGATATAATTTGTCCCCAGCAGTGGCTCTGCGGTTTGCCCTGTGAGGCAAGCCCCTTTTTCACGCTGCCCCGCCCCATGGCAGCCCCAGGCAGCCCCAGGCAATGTGTCAAAGGCCCATCAGGACACGCTTCTGGAGACTGTAGGAACCCGGCCACCCGGCTCCTAACCTCAGTCAGTTTGGTATTAATGAAGGCAGGGGAGAAATTGCCACCTAGAGGCAGCCTGGGTAATAAAGCCGAGGCCCTGGGGTGGCAAGCTCTGGCCTCCTTCTCCTGCTGTCCTGTAGAGGTGTCGGTGAGGAAGTGCGTCCCATAAGCCACTGTGGGAAGAGGGGGGCCCTGCCGGCATCTTGGGTGCCCTCCAGCAGAGAATCTTGGTGGCTTTTGTTAAGAAAGTTGCTCAGCTCTGCTGGTGCCAGGCCTTTCCTCTGTACAGGGCAGGCACGTGAGGGCATGTGAGTCCCTTCTGGCCACGCCTGGGCCAGCTGGGAGAATGCACAAGCCAGGCCCTGGCCAGTGGTCCGTGGCCAGCAGTCTGAGCTTCTCACCTGTCTGTCTGTCCTGGGACAGGGCGTGGAAGAGATACCCTGGTTGGCAGCGACGAGGACTCCAGTGCCCGAGTAGCAGCTAGCCCGGCCCTAGCACGGTGCAGAGCCCTCAGCGTGGACTGGGCGGGCCCCGGGAGTCCCCACCGGCTCTACCTGACTGTGCAGGTAAGCCCTGGGGCCTTCAGCAAGGTGGGGGGTTGAGTTGGGCCGGCTGAGCCTTGGCCTCTGAGCTCCAGACATGGTCTCCCCAAAAGATTTCTGGGTAGAACAGGGGACTGCCTCATGTCTCTGCCAAGCTCCTCGCAGCCCACCCAGCAGCCCACCCAGCCATGGGCCTGCATGGATGGGGCACTTTGCTTTCTAAGTTATCTAAGGGAGATCACACGGGGCTGGGGGCGGGGAGGGGGGGGGGGGGAGGTGACAGATGCTTTCACACCCTGGCTGAGGTGTTGAAGTAGAAAGTATGGGGCCTTTTTAGGGAGAGGTCTTGGGAGAATAGGCCCGTTTGGGGCAGCTGTTGATTTCCTCTCTGGCACATGAGCCCCTGGGGGGCAATGCTGTATTTCCTTCTTTTAAGTGAGAATCCCAAGCTAGACTGGGTTTCACCAAAACTTGGGTTCTTTTCTCTTGCCGTTATCACTGACTTTTAAAAGGCATTTTTACGTGTGTGTGTGTGTGTGTGTGTGTGTGTGTGGTTGTAGAAATAATACATAAAGAGAGTAGTACTAACAGCTTCTATTTATTGAACACTGTTACTACAGAGGCATTATATGTCCTATCAGAACAGTTACTGTTTTATAGATAAAGACAGGGAAGTAAGAGAATGAGTAACTTGCTGCTGGTCACAGAGCAGGCTAGGACCTCAACCACTGAACACAGCTGACTTTATAACACACGGCACACAGAATTCACACTATGCAGAGATAGGATACTTAGAAGCTAAAGGCCTTTTGTGGTCTTCTATCTTTGAAAAAATCACTGGTGTGAATCCATTTATCTTCACTTAGCTATATGAGTTTTAGCATTTTGACCTATTATTCTTTTTTATTTTAATTTTTAAATTCGAGGCAGGGTTTTGCTAAGGCTGACCTCAAACTTAACAATCCTCCTGTCTCAAGTCTCCCAGGTTACTGGGGTTACAAGCATGCACCACGGCGCTGGGTTCACGTATTATTCTGTGACTAGTTCTTTTCTTTAACAGTAGTCTCAGTGATCTCTTTACACATGTTAGTATACAGAGAACCACATTGCTCTTTTAAACAGTTGTATCATATTCTGCTTGAGGTTTTATCATAAGTTATTATTGGGCTGGGGATGTAGCTTATGATAGAGTGCTTGCCTAGCATGCTTGAGGCCCTGGGTTCGATCCCCAGTACCACCAAAAAAAAAAAAGATTCTCTGCTGTTGTTTCTAATTGTGGGGAGCTCCTTGAACATTCGTGCAGCTATAACTGAGTATTTTCAGGGCGGCATGGGTGCTGCCCATCTTTAATCACCGAAGGGCATACCACGTGCCGGCATGTACTCTGTGTGGGGATACAGGGAGGAAATAGACCCACAGCCACCTTGTGGAGGCCCCAGGCCCCAGGGGGTGATGGCTGCAAGCTGGGCAGGGGCCATAAATGCAGGGACAGAGGACAAAATACCAGGGTCATCCGGGGGCTTGGTGGAGGCCTTCCTAAGGAAGGTTGTACAGGGGAGGGCTGCGTTCCCACATGTTCTTCTGACGTCGAAACACAGATTCCGCCCTTTCCAGAATCCCGGATGCACACAGCGTTGATGGTGTGTGCACAAATGGAGGTCAGGGGCGTGGGAAACTCACATGCCCGTCTAGTGGACCCGAAGTCCTGTGGCCAGGAGTGGGGTGTATGGCCCCAGTCCCCACTGGTAGGGCCTGGGATTGGTGTTCCTTCAGGGACAGTCTTGCGTTCGGTGGTGTTTCTCAGCCCTTCTCATGTGGTTTATCTGAAAATGGAACCACATGGTCCTTCTTTTATCTGTGAAGCCTGCAAGGAAGGCCAGCCAGGGAGAGAACCACTCTTTGCTCTGCCTTGGGCCACTGGTAGTTAAACCCGGAGGCTGCGGTCAGGAACACGCAGCCTCAAGTTGGGTGGTGGCTCTGTTCTGAGCCTTGATTATGGGTGTTGGGCTGGGGCCTCAGCCCAGTCCTGGGGTCAGCAGATCTGCGGGTCTCAGAAGTTGCCGCCAGTATCCAGATTCTATGCTCTGGTCCTTCCCACCCCCCTACCCCGCCCCAAGCTCTGTTCAGTTTGTAGGTGCGTCAGGGTCTTGGACATGGGACGTGAGTGGGTTCCAAGCACAGTGAAGTAACCTGTAGCTAAGTGACCTGCAGCCTCTGCGCCAGCAGCTCCAACCTGAGCCCTCCGGTGGGGCTGCAGATGCCCAGCCCCCACCCCACCCCGCCGTCTGCCCTTCCTGGGCCGAGGCCAGCAGGCCAGGAAGCCAGAAATAGCGTAACCTCTGCTGGGGTCGGCAAATGGACACTTCCAGCTGCTGCCATCGCTGCCCCTGCCGGCGAGCCTGCTCGTGTTGGGGTGGCAGTTGGTCGAAGGGTGGGGACGGAGTTAAGTCCCACCAACGCGGGCCCAGGGAGGGGCGGAGGGGTGGGTGGCAAAGCAAGGGGCCTGCCGAGGCCACTTCTCCCTTCTTTGCGATTCCTTCCATTGGATTTTTAATGAGCAAAACTCCCTGGTGCCGGGCTCTCCCCGAACCCCGCACTCTGTGCGGGGCCACCCACCTGGACTCGCACACTCCACGCGGCTTTAAAAAACGTTTTTTTCTTTGCTTCAAAGAGAGAGGACACAAGGACACACAGAGACCTGCCTGCCCAGGATCTCTCTCCCCAGATGCCTCTGCTGATGTTAGAAAAACAAACCCCACTCAGTAGGCGTTTATAGGGTGAGCAGTTCAAGGGCCAGAAAGTGGAAGGCCGCCCCTGTCCCTCCTCCCCTTCCTGTTGGGACGTATCTTTTTGTTCCCCGAAAGTTTAAATGGTGTTCATTTCTTTTAAAAAAAATATTTTTATTAGTTGTTGGTGGACTATTTATTCATATGTGCTGCTGAGAATCGGACCCAGTGCCTCCCACGTGCCAGGCTCCACCTCTGAGCCCCAGCCCGGCACTTCACGGTGTTCGTGTCTGCCTGGCCTCTGCCCCATCACTAGCAATGGCCAGAGAGCCACCACCTAGACACTTCTCCAGGCTTCCTTCTCTACCTGATTCCTGTCCCTGATCACGCGTCCCACGCCGATCTGCTGCTTGCCCGGCGTCTCTCTAGGTGAGAAGCCGGTGACTGTCTCTGGGTGAAGCGCCTCTTTCTGGCCCTCCCGCCACCTGTCCACTGGTGGGCTCCGCCCCAGCTTCCTTTGCCTCAGTCTGTCCTTGGCCAGCAGTGGGGGTCCCGTGATAGCCACGTGGGCCTGGGGGTGGTGGCCCTTCCCCTGCTCTGGTGGCCCATGTGCAACCTCCTAGCCCTGGGGGGTGCCATCTGGAGGTGGGGGCCATTCCTAGGGCTGGCAGCAGCTGACATCATGGAGTGAGTGGCCTTGGTTTGATGTGCGTATGGCAGGGACGGACACTGGCCTGTGAAAGATGACCCTGGGCCAGAAGTGAGCCGGCTGCCAGGCTGGAGCCTCAGGTGTGGCCCGCGCTTCACCTGGGCACTTCAGGTGCCCAGAACCTTCTTTGCAAAGTCTGGCTGCCGCAGGGCCAGGAGAGCCACTTCCACTGTCTTGCTGAGGGGTCTGGGCACGCCCTCTTCAGACCCCAGTGCTCCCGCGGCCCCAGTGCAGTGAGAGCTCCCACCCCGGGGCCCAGGCCTGACCAGCTCCGGGAGCGCAGCCTCTCCCTACTCAGGGCCCCTCCGCAGCGCGGTCCCCTTCACGTGAGGATTCTGGTTGTGTCTTGGCAGCGGGCCCTGCAGAACAAGGGGTGCGAGAGCCAGAGTCAGGGGACGAAAGAAGACAAGCTCCTGAAGAGGCCGGTGCCGGCCCCCAGGCGGGACCCGGAGGCCCTGGAAGCTGGTGGCACCATGAATGTAGAGAAAACAGGTAAAGGAGGTCCGCCCTGGGAGCAGGAGCACCCTGGCCAAGCTAGCATGCAGGGAGGCTCTCCTGGAGGCCCAGCTGTCCCCACACCCGGTCCTCCCCCGCTGGAGGTAGCCCAGCCAGACGCTGGCCGCCTGACAGGGAACACTGAGACCCCAGCCTGCTGCTCCTGAATCCAGGGACAGCGTGCGGTCTCTCCTTTCCCTCACCACCCTCCTTCCCGTGCTACCAGGGCCCCACCCAGTGACAAGAGGCCTGGCCAGCAGGGGCTGGGGTTGAATTTCCCCTCGTTTTGTCTTTCCCCAGCGCCTGTCAAAAGCAGGGCGCAGGGTGCAGCCTCCCAGACGCCACTGCCCGCAGGGAGGCTTCTCGAATCCTGGGCCCACGGGGTCTCAGGCTGCTAGGACAGGGCTCTGAGTCCACCGCCTCCAGTGGAGGAAAAGGAGTTGGTGGAGTCCCGCCATGGCACCTGGAAGCTGGTTCTGGAACATTCCACAGGCCCTCCCCCTTTGTAGTCTGAGGGCTGGTGCTGGGGTTTCCAGCAGGAAGCCAGAGCCCAGTGACCACTGGGAAAGAGCATCTTGCAGGAGCCCCAGGGGAAGGCCGAGAGCGTGGGGAGGGAGAGGAGCTGGTCTTCCATTGTTTCTTCTTGTCACTGAGGGCTGTGTGTCTGGACTTGCCAGGTGCTGGCAGGAGCTCTCCCTGCTCCGAGGCTGTGCTAGAGCCAGGTTCACCTCTGGGCCCCAGCCCTCCTGTGATCCGGGCAGGCGTGGGCCTGGCTGAGGTGGCCTCCAGGGCCCGGGGAGCGGCGTCTCCCCAGTTAGGTGGGCTTTCCTCACCGGGCAGCAGCAGCGCTGATGACGGGAAGGCCAGGTCCAGTGGAGCGTTAGGAGTGGCTTTTGGCAGGTGGCCAGGGATGGGCTCACATCCCCAAGCTTGTGATGACAGCACCTTAAAAACTGACCTTCCAAGTCGGCGTCCAGCCTCGGGAGCAGGCCTGCTCTGCCCGGGGCCCCTTTGATCTGGCCAGTCCTCCCTCTTACCCGTCCTCAGGCCTCTGTCTTAGACTCTCCCTTCCTTCTCCCCTGTCCAGGCCTCCAGGCTCCTTGCCTGAGGTGGCCTTCTGGGCCAGGCCCGTTGTCCCCCTCTCCCATAGGAAGACCCTGCAGAGTCCCCCCACACACCTCTTAAGCGACAGCATTGGCTGTGGGGCCTGAGTCCAGCGTGTTCCTGCCACACCGCAGCAGGCTGTGGGGGCGGAGGGCCACGCCGGTCACATGCCTCCCGTGGCAGCCCCGTGTTTGGGCCTGGAAGCATCTGTCCACCCTCACTCTCTCTAGAACAGATCACAGAGGCTCGGCCAGCTCTGTGTGACTTGCATGCTGTGTCACATGCAGGCTACACAGCCAGGGTCACTGTCCAACCAGACACTGGCCAGCCCCAGCCCTCTGGAAGGAGGGGAGGGTGGCTCATGAGTGCTCCCCTCCCCAGTCAGGAGCCAGGCTCTCGCCCATCTGGCCCTCGGTGCCAGTGCTGAGAGGGTTCTGCCCAGCTGGGAGCCACCCCGCCCCCCTCAGTCCACTTGGGCAGTGAGGGCCCTTGCTGTATCTCGGTCGAGGCTGCCGGGGTGGGGGCAACAGGAGGCTTCTGCCATAGTGTCCGGGGGGTTCCTTCACCCCTGGAGAGCCCAGAAGCCCTGGCGCCCTGGGTTGAGGTGGAGGGCCACTTCCTGGCCAGCAGGGGTCCTCTTCTCTTCAGTCCTGGACACTTTGCAGGATCCTGTTTGGGCCTCGAGGAGGCAGATCCCCTGCGCCTCCCTGTCTCCCCCCAACCCCCGTGCCCGCTCCCTGCCCGCCGAGCCGGGGCTGGTTCCTGGTGCCCTGCCAGTGAGCTGTGACAGGCAGCCAGGCCTGTTAGCAGGTCAAGGCCTTGACCCATGTCTGTCCTTCACCCGTCTGCCTGTCTGTCTCTGTCTTGTCCCTGGTGACAGGACAGTGGAAAGCTGTGCGAGGAAGAGGCATTGGGCTGAGGCCCCACCCAGCTGGGTGTTCGTCCCTTTCTGTTGCCCATGTGGTACCCATGTATAGGTGGCCTTGGAGCTGGCCTGGCTGACCCCCTTGCACACACTGCTCTTGCTTCCTTTGGTGACAGCTTCTCTTCTACTCTTTCGAGGGAGCTTGAGGTTTAGGAAGTCATTTCTCCTGGGGACAGTGCTGCCTTGGTCTTTCTCAGCAGCGGTTGCCTGCAGGCTGGCGGCGGGGAGGCTCATCCCCCAGCCTCCTGCCACGACAGAGCGGCATCTTGGTTCAGGCCGGGCATCTCCAGAAGCTTCCCAATGAAGTGACCTCTGGGAGCCTGCAGGCCCCCGGCTGGCTCAATGCTGTCGCCTCCCTTGCCCCCGCCACCCCTGCTGGCGTCCCTGTCCCATGGTGGATGGCCTGCCCCTGCCATCCTTTGTCCCTGGCACAGTGGGCCCTCTCCTGGGCCAGGCGGGCCCAGCTGCCCGGCTGATGAGCTGCTACTTTGCTTGTAGGTGGGCGGCTCTTTGGCAGCGGGAGGTGCTCCAGCCTGTCGGGGTCTCCGGGCGCAGCCCCTGTGGTGCATAGGATGGTGGAGGCCATGTCCCAGCTTCAGGAGGAGAAGTGCCAGCTTCAGGAGGAGCTGGTGGTCCTACGGGAGAGGCTGGCCCTCCACGACAGTGACCAGCAAGCCACATCTGCCCAGCTGCAGAACCAGGTACCCGGGGAGGCAGGGACAGCAGAGGTCCACTGTGGAGCGAGCGTGGAGGGCGCTGGAGGGAGACGGGGTCTTCTGAGCAGCCTCGGCACGTGCTAGAGGGCAGGGTGCAAGAACCAGAGGTCTGGGCCTCCCTCCCGACCTTCCTCCTGCCCCGTCGCCGGTGGGGCCAGGTGTCCCCTTCAGGAAGTGCTGTACCAGGCGTGGAGCTGTCCAGGAGGACCAGCGACTGACCCCTGGCCCTCTTCATCCCTCTCTTCTTCCCCACCTCCATGTGGGCCCCCTTCCTGGGGCTCGGCTCCCGACTTGTGGCTCAGCACCTGTCTCCGTGGCCATCTTAGCCCCGCCGGCTCACCCGCGGTCCCCAGCCCCACCTGCGGTGTCAGTGGCCTGGCCTGGCTTTCGGGCTCTTGGGCTCCCGGCCTGGGCTCTCTCTCGACAGAGTGTGGGGCCACACTCTTCCTCTATCCTGTGATCTAACAGGTCACCTAGACGGGTGGCCGTCTCTTGCGGCTCTTCTTGAGAGCTCTCTCTTCTGCCCACCTGCCCCTTGTGCGTTGGGCAGGCCTCCCTGTGGCCTCCCTGTGGCCCCTGTGCCCTCACCTCATGGCTTTTCTGTCTTGGCCCGTCTGTCCCAATGATAGGAGGCTCCTGCTCTGCATTCCTGTGCCCACTCGTGCCCGCCTGTTCTCCTCATGGTTCTGTGAGCCTTTCCTACCAGGCTGGGCAGAGGGGATACTCAGGGGGACAGGCAAGCCCCTGCCCTGGGGAGGCTCTGTCCTGGGGGCAGATGGACATTTGTTGCCTCCATGTAAAGTGAGAATAGTGACGGGAAGGGCATGCACAAGGCTTTGAGGACTTGCTGAGGTCAGGAACAGCCTCCTGAGAAGGCAGTCCTGGAGCTGAGGTCAGGCACAGAGCCGAGGGAAGTGTCTTCTGGGCCCAAGAAACAACCAGTGCAAAGGGACTGTGGCAGCAGGTGGAGGGAGGCTGGAAGTGCTGCCCTGGGGGCTGTGGTTGGGTCAGGGCCCACCCTGGAGGTCACACACCTGGCCCAAGGCAAGAACTCAGTAGCAGCACCTCCCTCCCTTGTTTAGGTTGACTAGACACCACTTTTCAAACAAGTTTTTTATTTTTTATTTTTAAGAGCTTTGTGGAGACATAATTCATAGACCATTAAATCCACCCCTTTAAGGAGGTCAGTTTGGTGGTTGTAAGTATGTCAGGATGACGATGCACCCGTCACCCCTAATTTTAAGTCATTTTCATCACCCTAAAAAGACCTAGTGACAGTCATTCCCTGCTTCCCCTCCCCCAGCCCTGGGCAGCCATAATCTACTATTTTGATGCTTCTCCTTTTCTGACGTCTCATAGGATCAAAGTAACATGGGGCCTTTTACTACTTGAAACACATTTTTAAAAACTCTCTTTCTTTTTAGTTGGCAAAACCGACTGACTTTTTAAGCGGGCCAGTGGAAGGAGACACCCTGGCTTTTGGTGTCCTTGGGCCCCAGCTCTCCCGCCTCCTGGAGGAGAACCCCAGCCCGCTCCCCCGGTGGCCTGGGAGCTCAGAACAGTCCCCGTCTCTGCTCAGGTTTCACCTGGGAACTTGCTGATTTCCAGCACTTTTCTGGAAATTTCTCATCGACATCCCTGAAACCCCAGGTCTCTGGGCTGCTTTCTGGAGGGTCTGACCCCAGCAGACGGGGCCTCCGCCTGGGCCTGGAGCCAGCCAGGGTCAAGCCCTGGTGTGGCCCTGCTCGTTAGCCATATGACCCTGGGCTAGTTAACGACCACTCTGAACCTCAGCCTCCTCGTCTGTAAAGCGGCTGTAGCCACAGCACCTGGGTGAGGTGACCCCCGCGCGTTACTGGGGTTGCCGCCACCGTCACCCCCACCATCACTGGGGCGCGTGTTGGGTTTGGAGCCCTGGGAGCAGAACCCTCATCCTGGCTGTGCTACTCCGGCTGGACCTCCGCAGGAAGCCACCTGAGCCTTCATGTCCCCGGCTCTGAACGAGCTCGTACACGTGGCTCTGTGGTTACTGGGTGGGTCAGCTGCGAGGGAGGATGGAGAACCAGCTGCGGAGCTGACGCCGCCCGGGCGCCTGTCCTGCCAGGTCTGGTCCCTCGCGGCCTGGCTGTGGTCGGACGCCGATTTCCACGTCCCTGAGTGCTCTTCCCGGAGGAAAGGCCACCGTGGGGTGCCCACTGCCCGGTTCTCAGTGCTGGTCCCGGCCTTGTCCAGACTCGCCCCTGCCTGTGGCGCGCTCAGTGTATTCTACAGGCCCGTGGGGACTCTGCCAGGCAGCCAGGTCCCAGCTGCAGCCGAGGTCACCACAGAGTCGGGCCACCTCAGTCCTGCCCCTGGGGACCTCAGCTCTTCCTCCTGTGCAGTGGGCATGATGACAGTACCCACCACAGGACTGAGGGGGCCAGGTGACCTTCTCACCAAGCCTCTGGCCCCACTGGGAGATGATGGGACACATGTGCCTGCTACTGTCACTCTTGGCACCTGGGCTTGTCGGACCTCTTTGTCACTGTCACATGTGGTGTTTCTGATAATGAGAGCACTCAGGGCAGGGGGCTACAGACCCCAGGCACCCAGAAGGTCCAGGTCACAAAGGCCACTGGTCCTGCTCTGGTGACTGGTCCCAAGGACCCTACTGCGTGTTGGCAACCACAGCCCCAGGCCATGTCCCGTGGCCTCCCGCTCTCCTGTCCTCTTACGGACGTCTCTGGAGCCGTGGCTCGTGGTCCCTCAGGTTCCCCAGCGTTGGGCTGCCCAGTGGCCCCTGCCTCTCCTCCCTGCACCCTGAGGCAGAGCCATCCAGGGCGTCCTCAGGGCTTGCAGTCCAGGAGACCAGCGCTGGGTCGCCACTGAGTCCTGTTTGACCTGTTTTTAAAAACCCATTTTAAGCCAGGTACAGTGGTGCACGCCTGTAATCCCAGCAGCTGGGGAGGCTGAGGCAGGAGGATGGCGAGTCCAAAGCCAGCCTCAGCAATGGTGAGGTGCTAAGCCACTCAGTGAGGCTCTGTCTCTAAACAAAATACAAAATAGGGTTGGGGCTCAGTGGTCAAGTGCCCCTGAGTTTGACTCCTAGTACCAAAAAAACAAACAAAAAACCCAATTTTAACCATTTTTCAAAAATCGCAGTCGAATGCACGTGGGGTAAAAATTGCTGCCGTGACCATGTTGAAGTGCAGAGTCTGGGTGTGAAGAGCATCCACATCCACGGCAGCCGTCGGGTCCCTCATTCGGCCTGGATGGCACTCGGTGCCTCCTGAGTGGGGTCCCAGCGGTGACTGGTTCACCCCACTTGGCATAACGTCCTCAGGACTCCTCCTGTTGCATGGGGGCCAGATTGTCCTTTTACAGGCTGAAGACTATTCCTTGTGTAAACACTCGACATTGCTTGTTCATTCGTTTACCCTTGAACTCATCAGTGGGGTGCTTGCACCTTCTGGCGATTGTGAATAACGCTGCTGTGAATGTGGGTGTGCAAATACTTCCTCAGGTCCCTGCCTCAATTCCTTTGGGAATAGACTCAGGATTGGAATTACTGGATCAGATGGTAATTGCATTGCTAAATTTTCTGAGGCGCTGCCCTACTGGGTTCCATAGCGGCTGTACCATCTGACCTTCCTCCTAGCCACACACAAGGGTTCCGCTCCCCCCACAGGCTCACCAACACTTATTTTTGTTACAATTTATAATTTTTTTTGGTACTGGAGATTGAACCCAGGGGTGCCTAATCACTGAGCCACATCCCCAGCCTTTTTATATTTTATTTAGAGACAGGGTCTCACTGGGTTGCTTAGGGCCTCCATAAGTTGCTGAGGCTGGCTGTGAACTCTGATCCTCCTGCTCAGCCTCTGGAACCCTGGGATTACAGGCGTGCAGGCTGTATCTATATACCAGTGCTGTGAAGTGGCATCTCACTGTAGTTCTGATTTGTGCATCCCTAATGCTTAGTGATGCTAGCATCTTCTCCTGGGCATTTCGGCCAGTTGTGTATCATCTTTGGAGAAAATGTGTAACCTAGTTCTTCGCCTCTGTTTTAGTCAGGTTGTTGAGTTGTAAGAGTTCATGATGCAAGTTTATCTCCCATTGCCTTTTTATTCCATTAGTATACTTTGTTATGCAAAAGTTTTTATTTTATTATTAGTATTATTATCATTAGTAGTAGTATAGGAATTGAACCCAGGGACATTTAACCACTGAGCCACATCCTCAGCCCTTTTTACTTTTGAGTCAAAGCCTTGCTAAGTTGCTGAAGCAGGCCTCAAACTTGCCATCCTCCTGCCTCAGCCTCCCAAGTCCCTGGGACTACAGGCATGTACCACCATGCCCCGCAAAGTTTTTAATTTTTATGAAGACCAACTTATCTGTTTTTTCTTTTATTGCTTGTATTCTTTCTAGGGTCATATCCAAGAAATCATTGTGAAATTCCAGGCCATGAACTTTCTTCTCAGAGTGTTGCAGTTTTATCTGTGATATTTAGTTGGTCCATTTTGAGTTATTTTTTGTCTGTAAAGTCCAGCTTCATTCTTCTGCATGTGGACATACCTGCGGGCTTCCAGCACCACTCGCTGAGAGGACTGACCTTTACCATTAAATGGTCTTGTCAGAACTTAATTCTGAGTCCTTTGTTCCTTTCCAATTGTCTTTAAATGTGATCGCCAAGGCCACCCTGCTTTGATCACAGCAGCTCTGCATTTTGAAGTCAGGAATGTGAGACTTCCTCCTGGTTGTTCTTTTCCAAGATTGTTTTGTCTATTTGGTGTCCCTTGAGATTCCCTATGAATTTTAGGGTGAATTTATTACTATTTGTTTAAAAATGTCGTTGGAATTTCAAGGGTTGCATTGAATCTGTAGATGACTTTGGATACATCGAAACCTTAACAATATGAAGTCTCCAGGATGGCATTTCATTTCTTGGTGTCTTCTTTAATCTCTGCTTTTTTTTTCCCTTCAGTACTGGGGACCGCACTCAGGGCCTGCTCATGCCAACCTGTGGGCCAAGTCTCAGCCCCAGCCCTGCTTTAATCTCAGCAAACTTTTGTAGTTTTCCAATGTAGAAGTTTTCACCTCCTTGATTACGTTCATTCCTAGCGATTTTAGTCTCTTAGATGCTATTGTAAGGAATTATTTTCTTCTTTTTCTTGGTGAATTGTCATAGAAACACAACTGATTTTGTGGCTTCTCGGGGCGGACATTCCTGACACGGCAGTCACTGCCGTAGTGGGCTGGCAGCTCCGGCCTTTGGGGGTGCTGTGAGCACCCTTCCACACCTCCCTTCCACACCTATCCACACCCCTCGTCTCACACATGTACCAGCCTCACCCACAGGCCCTGCTCCGCCCAGCCCCATGTATTTACTGAGCATTCATCCCCCATGTATTTACTGAGTACCTACTATGTGCCAGGCTTGGGGCATTTAGCACTGGGCACCATAGATAAAAATCCCTGACTTTGCAGACCTTTCGTTCTAGTATAGGTTGATAATCCGGAATCAAATAATCCAAAGTTCTCTTGAATCTAAAACGTTGAGTATCAACATCGTACCACAAGTCTGATGGCTCAGTGCACACAAATTTTATTCTGTATGCAAAATTATTAAAAATATTATATAAAATTACCTGCAGGCTATGTGTGAGTCATGTGTGAAACACAAATAAACTTTTTTGGGGGCAGGTATGGGGATTAACCTCAGGGGCTCTTGCCCACTGAGCCACATTCCCAGCCCTTTTTTGTATTTTATTTAGAGACAGGGTCTTACTGAGTGGCTTAGTGCCTCACTTTTGCTGCGGTTGGCTTTGAACTTACAGTCCTGCTGCCTCAGCCTCCTGAGCTGCTGGGATTACAGGCATGAGCCACTATGCCTGTCATAGAGTTGGATCCCATCCCCAAGATGTTTTATTACATATATGCAAATATTCCAAAATCTGAAATTAAAAAATGTGGTCTCAAGCATTTGAGATAAAGTACACTCAATCTGTAACAGGGTGCTGGGCCCTATTGTAAGTGGTTCGTGTATATTTTCTCATCTGATATCCAAGAGAGCCATGGTGAGGTAGCCCGATCATACAGATGAGGAAAATAAAGAGAACGGAGAAGTAAAGATGCCCCTCCAAGGTCACCTCAGGTCACCTGCATGTGAGAGGGGTCTGGGTTAGGACCTGGGCAGTCTGGCTGGAGAATCCATTGTTCTCGAGGCTATTCCTATTCCTCAGGGGCAAAAGGACGTAAGTGTGAACTCTTGGCAGCTGAGTGGACAGGGGCAGACAGGCCTGGCCAGTGGTCACAGAGCCACGAGCCAGCATATCAGGAGGGGCAGAGTGTTGGGGCAGGATGGGGACAGTGGCTGGAAAGGGGTGCTCCCTTGAGGCCCTCCCAGCTCCGCCACAGCCAATAGCAGGTGACCACACTGCCCAGGCTAGGCGAGGCGGGCGGTAGGGAGGTAATGAGCAGGCTGGCCGCCTCAGGAGGCCGCCTCAGGAGCTGACAGCTGATAAAACAGACCAGGGCGCCCCCGCCCCCCGTCCATTCTGCCCTGACAAGTGAATGCAGGTTTCTGTCAGGTCAGCAGAAGCCCCGGCTTCCTGGGCCCTCAGCAGGGCAGGGCTGAGGCCCCTGCACCGAGACTCGTCTTCTCTGGCTGGGAACCACCAGGAAGGGGGTGACACCTGCCCAGGCTGGCCCTGCTGAACTCTGAGTTGACCCCTGGGCTGGCCTGGGACACTTTCCGCAACCTGGTTGGGAGGCTGTGCTCCCCTGTGACTTGGCCTTTGGCTCAGGCGTGTGCACAATGCCCCTTGATGTCACTGCCAGTATTTATTGAGCAGCTACTTATGGTGGCCCCACACGGGGCGTGGCCCTCCCCTCTTAGGCTGACCGCCACGGGCGGCCATCGCTGGCTCCCCCCTCTCCACGCCCCACTGCTCCCAGCCCTGTCTCCTGTCTGGTCCTCTGGGTGCCCTGCTTGCCTCTGACTTCTTGTTCACTGTCCCTAACCCTGTGAGTCTTGCCCGCTGTGCCTTCAAGTCCAAGAGGAGGTTGGTCTTGCCCCCAGCCCTCCTGGAGCGAGCCCTCTGCGTGGAGGGTGAGGGTCCCCCTCCTGGGCTGGTGTTCTTGGTTCCCAGCCCCTGATGGAGCTGGCCTGCAGGGCCCATAGAGTCATTCAGTTGCCTGGGCCTGAGCAGCCTGAGTCACCTTGGCCAGGGTGCCTGAAAGGGTCAGTCTACCTGCTCTGCTGCATGCTACTTGTCCCAGGAGGTGACTTAGCGTCTGACATCTCTGACCAAAGCAACCCTCCTCCCCTGTTAAGGGCAAGCCCCCCATCACAGTCCTACCTCCTGGATGCTGCTCCTGACTGATTCCAGAGCCAGGAGCACCCAGGCCCCATTGTGATGCCAGAAAGGCCCAGCATGAGGGGCAGGCCGGGAGGGGCACCTGTAACCCAGCCAACCTGCAAAACCCTCTTTCAAGGCATCGGCGGGCCCGAGTGCAGGCATCCAGATGGTTGAGGTCAGAGCACAGCCCTGGGGAGGGGAGTGGCTGGGGGAGGTGCCCAGACCTTGGCTTAAGCTGGACGTAGACCCAGAACATAGTCCAGGGTGAGGGGACTCCAGGGAACACACTTGGGACTTTCAGCAGTGTCTAATGCTGAGAAGCATCAGGGATGGTCGGCTGTAGCTCTTCAGCCTGAGACCCCTCCCACCCTGGAATCTTGCTTTGGCTTTTCATGTTGACAGCTGCATTGGGCAGACCTGGGGTGTGTGTGGGGGAGAGGGGGTTGAGAAAGGGGAGGGGAGGGGGCTTCGTGGTCGCGTGTGGTGTGTGAAGCCCTGGCTTCCATCCCCAGCAGGGTGATGAACAAGACAAAATCAACCCCTTGGTCAGAGACTCCAGGTCCTCTCTGGGCTTGTCTGGGCAGCAGGCAGGAGGCAGCCGAGAGGCGGGACTGAGAACTCTTCAAACTTCACACAAACTCTAGAACAGAATCCCGGCCAGCGGCACTGCGCTGAGACGCAGACGCTATCATTTACCCAGCGCTGCCCCGAGGGCGGCCATCGGCTATTCCCCGTGTTGAGAATGAGGATAGAAAAGCTGCCTCGTGTGACCTGCCCCTCAATCCCTTCTGGGGCAGAGGAATGGAGCCCCTCCTCATTCCAGGCTCCCAGCCCCAGAAAGGGGACACTGGGGGCGGGCAGGGGGTGGTGACTGCGTGACAGATTTGGCCCTCAGGTCACCTGCATGTCCCCCAGGTGGCCATGGGCAGGCTGGTAGGATCGTCCACCCCCAGCTGGGTCTTGTGTCTTAGGACACCCCTCCCACCCAGGAGCAAGCAGGAAGGGCAGATCTCCTGGCCCATTCCTCCTAGAGCCACCTGGAAGCAGAGGCCCCGCTGACTCCAGCCCCAGGAGGCCCTGACGTCCAAGGTCAAGGGCTGCCCACAGGCTTGATGAACGACATCCCAACAATATAAAATGGAGCAGCTCCGCACACCCCCAAATCCAGTATCAGCCTCCCTTGAGAGAAAAGGGAGTGTGTCCCCCTGGTTGAGGGACATGGGGAGCACATGTGGCTGCCTCCTTGGGTGGCTCTTGGGCATCTGATCCCACACAGCCTCTCACCCGCCTTACCGGGCTGGCTCCTGTAGGTGATGGACATTGTCACCTGTCATTTAGTCATTGGAACCCAGTGTTTTTGTGGCTAGCTTATGTAAACCTCCTGAACCACCAGAGTAAGCCTGACTCTCACTGAGCCTTTTCCCAGGTGAGACGTGGTCATTACAGAATGTTCTGGAAGAGAACCCAAATACACTCTGGTGAATGCTGGTGCTGAGGTCTTTTCTGCCTGTTATTTCCTGAGAAGAGGCTCCTGGGGGTGGGAGGCTCCTGCTGCAGGCCCAGGGTCTGAGGTGTCTGAGGCCTATGGGTCAGCTGGGGACAGGGAAGGGTCACTGTCCTGGGGTCTGTGCTCTAGGGTCTGGCCCCTGTGGCTCTAGCCACTATAGGGTGCCACTGCTTGCTGATGGGGTGAACACCCCCCTTTCTCTCTCAGCTTGGGTCAGCCACGGCTCTCCTGCAAAGGAGACTGGGGTCAGGGGTGGACACAGGTGCCAGGCGTGCTTTGGCTGTGGGCAGACCTGGCTCCACAGGCCAACTTGCCAGAAACTACTCAAAGAAGAAAATTCTGAGCACTAGGCAGGGATGAATCCATGGCTTGCGGGGCCTGGGCTTGATATGATTTGAGGGCCCTTTTAAAATTACAGACATGAATACAGGGGTCTGTGCCAAGCAGGGATCCCGAGTCTGTCTTAGAGCTGCTTCTGGGGCGAGCCCGGCCCAGCGAGTGACGCCTCTGTGCCTCAGCCTTTTCTTTTTTGGTACCAGGATTGGGCCCAGGCACTTAACCACTGCTCACCCTCTCCTCCCGCGCTGTCTTCAGGGCTCTCCTAACCACTGAGCCACAAAGAGCTGGGGAGCTCTTTTCTATTTTATTTAAAGACAGGGTCTGGCTGAGTTGCTAAGGGCCTCCCTGCCCCTCGGCTGCACTTCAGGCCTCCCTGAGGCGCCTGGGCTGGCCTGGCCCTGCAGGCGGTGAAGGCTGTGGCAGGCCAGCTTCCTCCTACTTGGAGTCTCAGGCCTGGCCTGAGGCTGTGGCTCGGGAGGGGCTGGGAGAAGCCTGGTCGGTCCTTGAACTGGTGCAGAAGGGAGGACGGGGAGGGCTGAGGTGAGGACCCAGGCTCAGCCTCCCTGGCTCTGTGCCCGCAGGTGGAAAATCTGAAGGAGAAGCTCATCAGCCAGGCCCAGGAAGTGAGCCGACTGCGCTCCGAGCTGGTGAGGCTCTGCAGGGCCACCCGGGGGCTGTCCCGTGCACCCCTGCCCGTCCCCCAGGGGCGCGGCCCTGTCTCCCAGCCCTCACGTCCCACCCAGAGACTACTGCCATAGCTGGTGCCCATGGTGTGGCTCCTGAGCGGAGGGGGCTGGTTCTTCTTGGCTTACGTAAAACAGGAGTGTGAACTCTGTGCATAAGTGTGACTTCTTGTTACTTTCACACTCAGGAAAGTAGGCGGAGGGGCGGGGCAGCGGGGCCCTGCTCACCCCTCTCCTCCTGCTGTCTCCAGGGCTCTCTGGGCTCCTGCTCGCCTCCCTGTCCCTGTCCCTGTCCCTCTTCTCCTTCCTCCGTCGCTCCTCGCCTCTCTCCCTCTCCCTGCCCTTGCCCGCCTTCCGTCTGCCCTTCTCGCTGTGCCACCTGTCCTTGCCACATGCCCCCCTGGGCCCTGGCTCTCCGCAGGGAGGCACCGACCTGGAGAAGCACCGGGACCGGCTGGTGGTGGAGAACGAGCGGCTGAGGCAGGAGCTGCAGGAGTGGCGGGCCCAGCCGGCGGGACCCTGCCCGGGCTGCGAGCACAGCCAGGTGAGGCGCTCGCCCGGGCCGGGCTCAGCTCCCCACGGGGAACCCAGTGCTCAGAGCGCCCCTGGCCCCCGCAGGAGAGCACCCGGCTCCGTGACCAGCTCTCCCAGCTGCAGCTGGAGGTGGCGGAGAACAGGGGCGCGCTGTCGGAGCTGAACCTGGAGGTGCAGCAGAAGACGGACCGGCTGGCCGAGGTGGAGCTCAGGCTGAAGGACTGCCTGGCCGAGAAGGCCCAGGAGGAGGAGCGGCTGAGCCGGCGCCTGCGTGACAGTCACGAGACGATTGCCAGCCTGCGGGCCCAGTCCCCGCCTGTCAAGGTGAGCCACCAGCCGCCAGCCAGGAGCGGGGCCCTACACAAGCTTCGGCCCGTGGCACCAGGGCCGGGCTGGCACGCAGGAGCAGCTGTCCTGGTGAACAGGTGCCAGTCGCCAGAGGAATCCTCCAGTCGGTGCTCTCTTGTCCCTTCCCTCTGCGAATCAGGGCCAGGCCCAGTTAGGTAGCCAGCAAGCAGTGGCAGAGGTGCCCCCCCTGTGGCCGGCCCAGATGAAGTGCGGCCTCTCCATTCTGCACCTCCCCGAGTGCTCCGGGCCAGGCTGGGCTGCGGCCAGGTCACGGTGCAGGCCTTGTTGAGACGAGAAGATTCCAGGAAGCCAGATTTGCAGCAGTCTGCAAAGCTGGGACCTTGCAGCTCCTGTCATTTCTGTGGGGAGTCTTGAAGAGACATCCCCGAGGCTCCCCAGTGGCCAGCTGTGACTCAGGTACCCACACGCCTCCATGCGCCCATCCTCCCCTCACCTTGCAGTATGTCATCAAGACAGTGGAGGTGGAGTCACCCAAGACCAAGCAGGCCCTCAGTGAGTCCCAGGCCCGGAACCAGCACCTACAGGAGCAGGTGGCCATGCAGCGGCAGGTGCTGAAAGAAATGGAGCAGCAGCTGCAGAGCTCACATCAGCTGACCGTGCAGCTCCGGGCGCAGGTGTGTGGGCTGTGGGGTGCATGCTGGGCCAGGCCCTCTGTACAGTGGAGGGGTTAAGTATTTGAGGATCCCAGAGACTGGGGGGGTCCAGTCCCTCATTTCTTTGATGGCCAAGTGGCCAAGGGCAAGTTCTCTGTTTTTTCGTCTGTAACATGATCTGGTCAAAGACCCTCCTGCACGGTGGGGACACAGCACCATGATCACAGCATGTCTTTACTGCAGCCCAGCCCAGCCCAGCATCTGTTCTGTGCCTGGACCAGGTTGGTGCAGGGGCTGATGCAGGAGGTGGTAGTGCATGGAGCTCACAGCCCTGTGTGGAGGAGAGAGTCGGCCATACTACCCCTCCCTGGGAGTGAGGTTCACTGCTTGGAGTGTGGCTTCTTTCCTGGTACCTGCCTCCCCGGTTCGTGACCACTGAGCCTTCTTGGCCTGGTTGCCAGATTGCCATGTATGAGTCGGAGCTGGAGCGGGCACACGGGCAGATGCTGGAGGAGATGCAGTCCCTGGAGGAGGACAAGAACCGGGCCATCGAGGAGGCCTTTGCCAGAGCCCAGGTGGAGATGAAGGCCGTGCACGAGAACCTGGCAGGTGAGCCTGCTGCCTGGGCCCCATCCGTCCCATGCCTTGGCCTCATACCGTCGGCCTCATACCTCTCGTGTCCCCATAGGTGTCCGAACCAACCTGCTGACACTACAGCCAGCGCTGAGGACCCTCACCAACGACTACAACGGGCTCAAGCGGCAGGTGCGCGGCTTCCCCCTGCTACTGCAGGAGGCCCTCAGGAGCGTCAGGGCCGAGGTGAGCGAGGCCTAGAATCTGGGCAGATGTGCTGCACATGTTCCTTTATCTGCTATGTTTAATTTTGCTTGTGGTTTTGGTGGCTCAACCCAGGGCTTTGCACACACAGACAAGAGCTCTGCCACGGAGCCAACCCCCGAGGCAGTTCTCTACAGCTGTACGTGTGCAGTATGGGAATAGGGCCACCTGCAGGCTGGGCCTTTTTTTTTTTTTTTTTTTTACACAATGCCTTTATTTTCTGCAGTGCTGAGGATTGAACCCAGCGAGCTAGGCAAGTGAGCCACGATATCAGCTCTGTGCTGGGCCTCTCACAGCCTTTGGATCCTTGAATTTGTCCGACAGCTCTTTCCAGAGTCCATACATAGAAAATAGCTCTCCTTTAAAAAAAGTTCTGTAGCCGGGCGCGTAGGTGCACGCCTATAATCTCAGCCACTCGGGAGGCTGATCGCAAGTTCAAAGCCAGCCTCAGCAATGGCAAGGCGCTAAGCAACTCAGTGGGACCCTGTCTCTAAGTAAAATACAAAATCGGGCTGGGAATGTGGCCCAGTGGTCGAGTGCCCCTGAGTTCAATCCTCAGTAGCCCCCACACCCCCAAAGTTTTGCAACACATGGACATGGTGAAAAGCCAAGCCCTGCAGAGGGGCGTGGAAAGGGAGGGGCTCTTGGCCACTGCATCCCCTTGCCTAGGGCCACCTGTCTCCCTGCTCTTCCCCGGATGTTCTGAGCATCACGAACAGGTACATGGTCAGCATATGTACTCCCTTTACCTGACGGGGGACATTACTGGACAGGGGGAGGTACTGGACCTGTGGCTTTGTATACCATGGAAATCTTTCCCTATCAGCTCCTACAGATTTCCGAGTTCCACACGTTACCCCCACTTTACAGATGAGAAGAGTGAGACTCAAAGCCTTGGTCCAGTTGCCTCAGGTCCCCCCACTAACTTGGGTGGAGCTGGAATTTGAGCCTAGCTGACTTGAGTAGTGCTAGTGCTGTGGAGGGAGGCGACTCCTGCTCTTTGCTTGTCCCCAGGGTAACCTTGAGCTATTGGCTTAGGCTTGGGGGCCCATGACAGGGGGATGCTGGCAGTACCTCTCCGAGGGGTCATGGGAAATCGGGCACGTGTCAAGCCTAGTCCAGGGCAGCAGTCGGCGTCCGGCTGGGCTGGGCCGTTGGAGGGGCGAGGCTGATGGAGTCCGCCCCTCCCACGGCGCGTGTCCCTCCAGATCGGCCAGGCCATCGAGGAGGTCAACACCAACAACCAGGAGCTGCTGCGCAAGTACCGCCGGGAGCTGCAGCTGCGCAAGAAGTGCCACAACGAGCTGGTGCGGCTGAAAGGTGCCTCCCGGGGACGTGGGCTGGTGTGACGGCATACGGTCCCCGAACTGGCTCAGCGGCCACCCTCCGAGCTGTGCCCTGTCCTCGAGAGCCACTGAAATCTCTCTGTAGACAAGGAATGGAGGCACAGAGAAGCCGGGGGCCTTGCCACGTGGCGGTCACTGGCCCAGCTCTGAAGCTCCGGTGCCATGGCAGGTTACTTTCCAGGCCCTGGGGAGCCTGTGGTGCTGCAGTGCTGGGTGGTGGGTGGCTGGAGTGCCACTTGTTCTGTCCTGGGGCCTGGTCAAGCTGAGAATGTCACCCTTCCCTGCCCGAGCTCCAGGGAGGACCTGGAGGAGTTCCACACCCAGGGGGTTCGGCTGTGGCCCAGACGCTGTGCCCGCACCCACTGTGCTCACTTTAGCCGGGGAGTGGCCAGTGATGAGAAGTCAGGGGGAAACCCCTAACCCTGCCCCGTGGCCAGGTGCAGGGCCCCACGGTGCAGGGGGCTGCCCAAGGAGGCAGAGCCAGAGCTGATCTGGCCTGTGAGTCGGAGAGGGAGGGAAGGCACGGCCAAGCTGGCCGCAGGGGCACTTTGTCTTCATTGCAGGAGCACAGAGATCCCACAAAGGGGCTGGGGACAAGAGGGTGGCATGAGCTGTCCCACTGTCTGTGCCTGTTAGATAACCATGCCAGTTGTCCACTGTCTCTCTGGTCCTATTGGCCCGTCTGGTGCCCAAGCCTTGTCCTGGTTTTCACGGTGACCTTTTAGATTGATAGGACAAGTCCCTGGGCTCATAGGGCCCCATGCTCCTCATGGTGTAGATGGAATCCAGACAGGAGGTCTCCCCAAGACTGGGTGCAGTCTTGAGCCCCATGGCTGACCTTGCTCCCTGTTCAAGGCAAGACCCCCACCCTTGAGTAGTCTGCCCAGGAGGAAATGTACTAAGTGAACCCATACTATATTGTGAGTGACTAATAACAGCTGTGGGCCACCTTGTCCTGGGAGGCTGTGACTCCTGGGCCCCTAGTCTGCCTGGTCCTAACCCTGCCTGGGCTCATCTCTCCAACCCAAACCACCCCAGGAAACATCCGGGTCATTGCTCGTGTCCGACCAGTCACGAAAGAGGACGGGGAAGGACCTGAGGCCACCAACGCTGTGACCTTTGATCCCGATGATGACTCCATCATCCACCTGCTGCATAAGGGCAAGCCTGTGTCCTTTGAGTTGGACAAGGTCTTCTCCCCGTGGGCCTCACAGCAAGATGTGAGTGTGGCCCTGGGGGACAGCATCTGCAGGGAAAAGGGGGACAGAATAGACAAAACAGTGGGGATGGGATTGACAAGTGGGGCCCCAGAGTCCCTCTCGCCTTCCCTCTGGGAGAAAAGGGAGTAGAAAGCCAAGAGCAGGGGCCTCAGAGGACTGGGGGTACAGCTCAGTGGTAGGGTGCTTGCCTAGGGGGGCTGGGCCCTGGGTTGATTCCCAGCATGGCCAAAAGAAGCCTCCTTCAGGAAGGGGAGAACCAGGCGAGCCTTCCCACCCACTGACCATGGCCTCACCTCCTGACCACGGCCCCCATCTGCATGCCCGGGGCCTCCAGGCAGTGGTATGGTGGCTCAGGACTCTAACACCCAGTGCCCAGCCCTGAGCGGTGTGAGGACCTCATGTCTTAGCTTCATTCTTCTGTCACCTCCACCCAGCTAACCTGCCAGGGCTGCCTGTCCTGTGCCCTCCTGTTCCCACAGCTGGCCTCCTTTGCTCCATCCTGTCCCCTGGCAGGAAGGCCAGGCCAGAGGCGATACCAGGCCGTGCTGCCTCTGTCTTCAGCCCTTCTTGGGCCCCTGCTGGCCTCTGTGGGCAGTGTGTGCCCCCTGATGTGTCCTGGGTGGTGACTCGCTACTCAGGAGTCCCTAAGAAGGAGCTGGCTGCTACAGTTCTGTCACTTTGAAAGGGCCCTGGGCAGGGGAGGTGGCTGGACTGGGCCCCTGGTCGCTGGAAGCCTTCTCTCTGCCCCCCGCATCCCTCCAGGTGTTCCAGGAGGTGCAGGCCCTGATCACCTCCTGCATCGACGGCTTCAACGTCTGCATCTTCGCCTACGGCCAGACGGGCGCCGGCAAGACTTACACCATGGAGGTGGGTGCACCCCTTTTGCTGCTGGGGCTCCCTCGTCACCCCCAGGGTGTGGCGCAGAGCCTGCTTCACCTCCTTTGGCCCTTGTACCCACCCTGGGGACAGAGGCTATCAGACCTGAGTCAGCTCCTGGCCCGAAGAGGGGCTTCCTGCCCCAGAGCACTGCCGTGTCCCAGCAGGACAGGTGGTGGGGACAGCATGCAGGGCAGCAAACTGTCAGAGGGTCTCGTCCAGCGCAGGCCCCCGCAGTGCCCCTCAGGACGCAGCCTTCTCTCCCCACACACTGTGCAGAGCCTCCCCCTCCTTCATGGCTGCCTCGAGCTGCACCAGGGTGTGGGATGCATGGGGTGGGGCCTCACAGGCATCCCGGGGCACTGGGAGAGACTGGCCACGTGATGGCTGTTGTGGGAACCCAGTTTCTGGGGGCGTACTGGCATTGAACCCTGGAGTGCTTAACCACTGAACCACCTCCCCAGCTCTTTTAAAAATATTTTATTTAGAGACGGGGTCTCGCTGAGTTGCTTAGGGCCTCACTGAGTTGCTGAGGCTGGCTTTGAACTGTGATCCTCCTGCCTCAGCCTCTTGAGCTGCTGGGATGACAGGTGCGCGCCACGGTGACTAGCTAACCCCAGCTGTCAGGGCAGGGCTTCATCTCCTTGAGGTGCAGCGGGAGCAGGTGGCTGGCCGAGGAGTGGGGCCTGAGAGGAGGAGGAACGCTGAGCGTGGATGGAAATTGGAAGCTGGCCTTCGGGGATTTGCTGTTGGCTCATTAGTACTTCCCCGGCTCCTTGGGGAGTGTGTGTGTGTGTGTAATTCCAGGTAGGGGAGGAGGCAGGTGCCCCGTGTCTGGGTGAAGGTGGTGGGGGACTGGACGGGCCCTTCCGGCCAGCTTGTGGGTGCCCCCTGGGAGCCTGCCGTGGCTCTGTTCTGTCTGGGCTCTCACTCCCCCAGTTCTAGGGTCATGGAGCCTAGTTACTGAGGGGCAGGCCAACTGGCAGACCAGGGACGGAGGTGGTGACGTTATGTGTGGCAACTCCTGGGTTCCCCGCTGTCTTGGGGCTGCTCAGAGTTGGGGTGACTACCAGGACCACCAAGCATCTTCCCTCAGAGCTCTGCTGAGGACTGAGGTGTGTCAGTCACCAGGCAGGCACTGGGGCCCCCACATGACCTAACAGTCCCTGTCCCCACTGGAGCCCACCTGGCAGTGGGGAGACAGTGGTGAACAGAGCCAGTCAACAGGTGCCAGGGACAACACAAAGCCAGAGGCGAGGCCTGGCAGGGAGGGCGTCTGGGGGCTCAAGGGACGCTCCCCAGGAGACAGTGCTGGAACCCAGGGTGCGCGGGCTGTCAGGGGAGAGCATGGCTGCAGAGGGGACACAGCTGGGTCCTGGGGAGGTGGGGGAGTGGTGAGGGCCAGACTCTGAGGGACGCCACGTGCCTTCTGGGAAGGTCTGCCAGTCCCTCAGGACCCAGCGCCTGTGGTTACCCTCCGCCACTCACCGAGCTCCAGGTGGCCAGTGAGGGGATCCACTCACTTCTGCTGCCCCTCCCAGGTGGCCCAGCGGGGCCAGGCATGTCTCAGGTGCTCAGCAGCCCTGTGCAGAGCCAGGCCAGGCCCTCCACCCCATGGCTCTGCGTTAAGCCTCAGGGCCAACCTGGCAGGACACTGCCACTCTAGTGGGGGAAACTGAGGCCAGACAGGTGAAGTCGGCGGAGCTAGTGGGGGAGCTCCTGAGGGGCGGGAGGCTCACCCGTGAGTGGGTGAGGGCTGGGGTGACGGACTCCATGTGCAACATTCAGGGCCACTGGGGTCTTCCCTTCCACCCTTAGGGGACCCCTGAGAACCCGGGCATCAACCAGCGGGCCCTGCAGCTGCTCTTCTCCGAGGTGCAGGACAAGGCGTCTGACTGGGAGTACACCATCACCGTCAGTGCGGCCGAGATCTACAATGAGGTCCTCAGGTGGGCAGCGCGCTGGAGCCCGGGGTGGGCTGCAGGGCCTTCCGGTGGGAGTTGACTTCCAAAGGAGGCGGCTAAGCAGCTTCGTCCCAGATACACCCTGATGCAGTCCAGGAGGGCCAGGTGGTCCCAGCAGGAGGGGGCTCTCCCTGATCTTGCCTGGGAGGTCCTGCCCACAGGCCAGCGCACTGTGGAGGCCAGAGAGACCATCCGGGGACTTCTGGGGAACAGTCTGTCTCACCTCTTCAGCTGAGGCCGGGAGAGGCGTGGGGAGAGCCGGGCTTAACCTGATGGTCAAAGAAGGTGTGACGGGCAGGGAGCCTTCCAGGCTGGGGCGGGGGGATGCAGCGACTGTCCTGCCTGCCCTTCCAGGGACCTGCTGGGCAGAGAGCCTCAGGAGAAACTGGAGATCCGGCTGTGCCCGGATGGCAGCGGGCAGCTGTACGTGCCGGGGTTGACGGAGTTCCAGGTGCAGAGCGTGGACGACATCAACAAGGTGCCTGCCTTGGGGTCTTGGGGCTGGGGAAGTGCTGGGTGACACTCTGGACATGAGCACGGCTGTTCCAGAGGACAGGACCAGGCTGGAATTAGGCTCTGCCACGTCCCAAGTGGCATGTCCTCAGGCCTTCCTGGGCCTCCGTTTCCCTGTCTGAAACGCAGTAGGTGGCATCACCCTTCCCAGGGCTGCTCTTGGAGACAGGCGATCCCAAAGCCTCCCTCTGAACCCTGTGCCCCCGACTGTCCCCAGGTGTTTGAGTTTGGCCACACGAACCGCACCACCGAGTTCACCAACCTGAACGAACACAGCTCGCGCTCGCACGCCCTGCTCATCGTCACGGTGCGCGGTGTGGACTGCAGCACCGGCCTCCGCACCACGGGTGAGGCGGGCAGCGGGCGGCCTGGCTGAGGGTTGCCAGGGTCCCCATCGTGGGCAGCCTTGACCTGCCTGCCATCCTCCCCGCAGGGAAGCTGAACCTGGTGGACTTGGCTGGCTCGGAGCGCGTGGGCAAGTCGGGGGCCGAGGGCAGCCGCCTGCGGGAGGCCCAGCACATCAACAAGTCGCTGTCAGCCCTGGGGGACGTGATTGCTGCCCTCCGCTCCCGCCAGGGCCACGTGCCCTTCCGCAACTCCAAACTCACCTACCTGCTGCAGGACTCACTTAGTGGTGACAGCAAGACGCTCATGGTGGTGCAGGTGAGGGCCTGGGGGCAGGGTGGCACAGGATGGCACAGGTACGCAGGATCCCAGGCTGCAGAGAGGGACCCTGGTCTTTGGTAGCTGTGGTCTGCACCCTCCTCTCAGCCAGGCCAGGCTGTCTCCAGGAAGCCTTCTGGAGTCCCCTGGCTGGGAGCAGCCAGCTGGCCTGGGTGGGGTGCGAGCTGTCATGTCTCCTAGGTGTCCCCCGTGGAGAAGAACACCAGTGAGACGCTCTACTCCCTCAAGTTTGCTGAGAGGGTCCGCTCTGTGGAGCTGGGCCCTGGATCCCGCCGCACAGAGCTTGGGTCCTGGTCTAGCCAGGAGCATCTGGAGGTACTCCAGGCCTGGGTCACACTTAACGGTCACAGGCAGGGGGAGGTGGGGCACTCCTTGAGTGGGAGGGAAAGAAGCTGCCTGGTGGGTGGGGTTAGAACTTGAACCCAAACCCAGTAGCCCTTTAATCCAAGTCTTCTTGGCTTGAGAGGTACTGAGGAGTGCACCCGTTGTCAGGGAGCTGCTGTGCGGGTCTGACACATGGGGGGCTGCCGTAGGAACTAGTTGACTCCTGTTCATATATTATCTCACTTGATTCTTGCAGGCAGGAGTATCATGAGGCCCGTTTTGCAGATGAGGAAACAGAGTTTTAGGAATGGGGGTGGGGAAGCATGGGGGAGGGGAGGAGCCAGGGCAGCCACGCCCACTCCCCTTCCTCTTCACAGTGGGAGTCGGCTTGCCAGACACCACAGCCTGCAGCACGAGCCCACTCGGCCCCCAGCTCTGGGACCTCGAGCCGCCCAGGCTCCATCCGGAGGAAGCTGCAGCCCTCTGGTGAGATCCCCACACAAGGGACAGTCACAGCCACCAGGCTGCCCTTACCTGGATGGGCTTTTCCTTTCCTTGTTAAAGCTTGTAACTTTAGCATGAGTCTCACATCCTCCCCGCCCCAGAAGTAGTCAGGGCAGGCAGGACTGTGTCCATTCTACAGATGGTAAAATCCAAGGCCCCCAGAGAAGGGTGATATCAGGAGGAGCCCACCTTGTACCCCCTCGCTAGGGCTCTGGCTGTAGTAACACCCTCCCAAACGGCCTGCGTCTCCTGCCCTGGGCCCTGGCTCCCTGAGGGTGGAAACTCAGGGCTCACCCGTGTCCCAGACGAGTGGGCCCCATCCCCAACTACAATCCAGGGCTCCAGCCTCTGCTGGGCCCTCATGGGAAGGCCTGGCCTGTTCCCAGTCCAAAGGGACAGGGCAGCATGTCCTGGTCAGGGGCAAGCCCACAGTGAGACGCCTGTTGCTTTGATTTCAGCCTGACGGCTGGGGCTGCAGTGTCCAGGTGAGTTGGGGCCAGCGGCCCAGGCTGCTTGCCTGCCACCCACCTGTTGCCAGCTTTGGGTGACAGGGCTGTGCCGGTGTTCAGCTGCTTGGGGCTGGGCCTGTCCTGCTGCCGCTGCTGTCCTTGTGCTCTCCCAGGCCCCTTCCTGCACTGGCATCTGCCCCTGCTGTGGGCACAGCTGCAGTGCGGAGCAGAGGCTGACGATCCCTGGCTCCTCCCACAGGGAAGTCCAGGCTGGTGCCTGTGTGAGGACATCCATCCTGCTGGCCTGGAGCTGGACCCTAAGGCCTTGCTGGCCTGCTCCTGCTACAGCACCACAGGAGGAGGAAGGTCCTCTGCCCTGCTCTCTTCAGAGATAAGAAACATGTCCAGAAGGAAGTAGTGTCTCTCGGCTGTGGCTCTGGGCACAATGTCATGGGCTTAAAGGGCAGGCAGGGATGGCCCGCCCTGCCTGGCAGGCCTGAGCCATCCGTCGGAGCTGGGCCCTCACAGGGAGGGCAGGAGCGTGTGGGAGGGTGGGCCTCTGGCCCGGGCTGGCCCATCTCTTCCCTAGGCTATGGGCCTGGCAGCCTGCTCGGAGCGGGTAGGCTGAGGCCTCACGAAGGCACAGGAACCCTGGGAACAGAGCTGAGCTGGTGGGCACCAGGGGCAGCCTGTCCCTGCTCTCCTCCAAGGAGAGGGGGGGTCCCCAGCCGGGCGTGTACATAGTGTGCCTAGGTGTACATAGGCGCCTGGTCCTCCCTGCCACGGGGCCAGGCTGTATTTATGGCTGGCAGGTGGCCAGTGGGTGGGCCTATGTCCCCCGCATCTGCCTGGCACCAGGTGCTGTCCTTGCCCACTGGCTTCTTGACATTTTCCTTCCTCCGAAATCCTATTTAAAAACTTTTGGAAGCTTAGCCATTTTTACTTATTAAAATAAAAGCCTTTTTACACAAGTGTAGTCTGAGTTGGTCTTGGGAGTCCCCGCTGGCTGGACTGCAGGGAGCTGGGGCATGGGCATGACCAGCTGCCTCCCACTGCTGGCCAGTCACCAGCCCTCCAGGACCCAGCTCTCCCAGGACCACACATCTGAACAACTGGGGGAGGCGGGGGTCATCGCTGCCCCCCACCCTGCAAAAGTGCCTGTTTCTGTTGTTCACGGTCACAGTTACCCTTCTGAGCCCAGCCTGTGCCTGCTGACTGCCCCACCTGACAGGCTTTACCTGTGTTCAGGCAGGACACTAAGGCCTGGGGAGCTGAGACTTGTCAAAGGTTTGCCCAAACCAACCCACCCACCACTGACCCTCTGCCCTGGCATTCCTGTCCTAGGTGAACGGGCCAGGGGAGGCCACCACCCTCCCCTTGGTGCCTCTAGTACCCTGATCATCAGTGCAGCTCCCACCCCACAGGGGGCTTGTGCTGCCCGTACTTGGTCCCAGCCCCAGGGGACCCTGTGCAGGAGCTCAGAGGGCCCCTCCTTTTCTTGCCTGGGCTGCAGTGCAGCAGGGTAGGGGCGCTGCCCTTTAGGGATGACCACAGGAGTGGGTCTGGCTGGCCAGCCAGCCCAGGGGGCTCCTGGAGGACACGAAAGCTGTCAGAGTCCTCAGAGGACTACAGCTGCCCTTCCAGGCCTGTCCTAGAGGCATCCTGGGGGCCAGCCGGTGGCAGATCCTGGCACCCTGCAGTGCACAGCTGCCGGGGCTGGGCCTCCAGGGCCCTGAAGGGGCTCAAAGGACAGCTGGGAGTGTGGCCGAGCCCAAGCCCCAGCCCCACCTGTTCCCCTAGCCGCGGGAGGGGCTACCCTCTTCTCCAGTCTGAACTGACCTTTTCTGTTACCCTGCTGCCCCCTGCTGGCTTAGAGACGACAGCACAGGCAATCGTGGGCCTGGGGAGCCCATGAGGCCAGAGGATGCCTCTCACAAGGAAACCAGGGAATAGTTACAAATTTAATAAAATTTGCCTTATAAATTACAGCAGCAGCCCCAGGGCTCAGTTTGCTGCCCCAAGAAGCAATCGTTGGGCAAAGCTGGGCAGCTGGAGAGGAAGTTGTCTCAGAATCCGGGCTGTGGAGGTGGCCGGTGGGCCAGTCCATCTCCAGGATAGCTGCAGCGGCAGGGGCCGGGCAGAGCTCGTGGCCAGAGGGCACACAGAACAGAAGGGGGTGCCAAGGACAAGCCCAAGGGCTGCCTGGTGCCCCACCCACTGGCTCTTCAGTCCAGACTGGCCATGAGCAGGTGCAGCTCGCGGAAGGCACTGCCGTGGCGGCCGCTCAGGCCCGACTTGCCCTTGACGAGGCCACTGATGCTCTTGAGCTGCTTGTAGCAGAGCCGGCACTTGTGTAGTCTGGGGGCAGAGGGTTGGCACCTGAGGCAGCGGCAGCCAGCCGGCCACCATGGCCCCGCCTAGCATCGGGACCCAGCTGTCCTAACAGCCCTCCTCCCAAGGGAAGGCTGTGGCCCTGAGCACAGGACCCTAGGCCATGCCAGGGCTCAGGGCGTAGCCAGCACGGGGAAGAACCCAGGCTCTGGCCAGGCCCTGTGCCACCACCCCCAGCCCTGTGTGCTTCCCCATGAGCTGCTGTATCAGGGCCATTAACATATGGGCCCTGTGTCCCTTAGCCTGCTGGGGCACCCCTGCCAGGCACACACTGGCCCTCACCTCTCCTCACGACTGATGTCCACACCCACGGAGGGCGGAGCTGCCAGGATGTCAGTGATCAGCGGCAGAAACCTCTGCAGGATGAGCTTCAGGGAGGTACAGCCTGTCTGGACGTAGCTTTAGGGACAGACAGGTGGAGTCAAGGCAGACACCAGAGCAACCAGAAAGGTAGTGAGGTACAGCAGGACAGTGTGGGGTGGGGCGTGGGGGGGCAGACCCAAGGCCACTTGCTCTGGCCACTGCTGCGGAGGGGCAGGGTCCCTGGAGGAGCCCCGCCACTCCCCATGCAGGCCCAACTCCCTACCTCTCGTACTTGCTCTGCAGAAGCTTCTCGATCTGCGGCAGCACCGTGGTACACAGGTCCAGCTTCCAGAGGGAGCTGGGGAAAGGCCAGGCGGGCACCATCAGGCCGGCCCTGCCCACCCCTCCCTTCCCCTCCCGGCCACTTACGCTTTCTGGTTGAGGATGTTCAGGAGGTCCACCACTACCGACAGGTCACTGATGGCCACCGCAGAGTCTACTGACGTCTGTGCAAACAGAGCTCCATGAGCGGGTGGGACATGTGGGGAGGTGTGAAGATGGGGCTGGGGTTTTACCAAGACCACGCGCCTAAAAGGAGGAGGGCAAGGCCCAGCAGAAATGGATGCTCCAGGAATGGCAGCGGGCGTCACACGGGAGGAGCGGGTCGGGTGAGACAGGGCTGCCCGCCCCAGCCCCTGCCTGGCCCTCGGGTGTAGCGTCGGCCAGGCAGCAGTGGGGCACAACAGCCCCGGGCAGAGGAGGGCACCTGCCTTGACATCGCCCGTGGTCCACACGGCCCGCACGGTATCCAGGTTCTTGTGGCGGCTGGTGAGCACCACACACATGGTGTCGTGGCCTTTTCGGATCTGGGACATGGCATCCTCGTCCACCAGCTCCGCCTGCTGGGGGACCTTCACGGCCTATGTGGGACAGGCACCCAGACGCTGACACGGGAACAGGTGGCAGGGCTCTGCCCTGGCCCATGGGCCTCCACCCACCCCATGGCTGGACCCCACTCACAGGCAGGAAGTCAGAGGCCTTCAGCCCAATGGGCTCATTCCGGGTGGCAGGGATGATGGCGGGATCACCCTTGGGTGCAGGTGTGGAAGTGGTGACCAGGGGTTGGGGAAGGGCTTCAGGCTAAAGGGAACAAAGGATCAGCAGGTGGCCACACCAGGCCTCCCCTCTCTGCCTCCTAACATGGGCGACCCCGACCCTGGCTCAGGACTCCAGCCCTCCCAGCCCTGGCCACAGCCCTTCAGCTGGGACGTACATTTGGTGCTGGGAACTGCACGTCCATGGCTGCGCTGGGCTTCGCTGCCTCCTTGGCCGTGATCGTGTCTGGGGCAAGAGGAAGACACACTGGATCAGACCAGGAGAGACTGGGGGAGAGGCAGGCCCGGGTGGGACTCTAGGTGGCTCTGTGCCCAGGGGGTGGCACAGGGAGACCCTCAACTGTGTCCGGGGGCTGGGCCCATCTCCTCCTGTCCTCCAGTCTCTTTGTGGATGGGACCCAGGAGATTCACAGCCCTTTCTTCACTAGGAATGCAGCGAGTGCGGGTAGGGAGGGGACCTTGGCTGTGAACAGGAAGTGGAGGGGGAGAGGGCCACCCCTGCCCCTTTCCGTCTTCATCTTAACTCCCAGCAGGGCCTGGCTTCCTGCTGGGCTGGCTGCTCAGCTGCAGGCCCCCAGGCCTCCTCTCAGTGCCTTCCCCAGGTTCTCCCTCCTCTCACCATCCTCAGACCTCCTCAGAGCCGTCCCCTCAGCCCATCTCCAGTGGCCCTGGTGACCCCACTTCCTTCACAGCACGTGTCCCCAGGCAGGCCCCCTGCAGCTGTCTGTCCACTGTTTCTCTCTCCACCGTTAGGCACAGGCCTCAAGGGAGCACCTGCCTGCCTCACCCACACTGTCACCAGGGCCGTGCCCTTGCAAACAGCAGGCACTGTTGAGGAGGGAAGGACAGGAGCCCGTGGGGGGAGGCTGGAGGTCATGCCATGGAGGGGAGGCCTGGGAGAGCCAGGCCCCTAGAGGCCAGCTCTGCTCCAACTCACCATCCTCTGGGGGTGCTGGGAAGGGCTCACTTCTCCGGGGTGGTGTCCGGCCTGCCGAAGCAAAGTGGGCTGACTGAGGACACCAGGGTCCTGTCTGTGAGCCCTCTTGGCCATGCCAGCCTAGGGCCCAGGGCCTAGTCAGAATGCTGAGATTAAGCTGTCCCCAGGCAAAGATGACACTGCTCCTGACCCCAGGAGCCCCAGTCCACTTGCTCCTGTGGGCCTCCCTTTGCCCAGGGCAGGGCTGGGGCACTGAGTGGCTGCTGGGCTTCTGTTGGGGAGTGTCCAGGCTCCTGCCCTCAGTCCCATGGAAGCCCAGCCCACAGGGCCTGGAGGACAAGGCAGAGAGGCTGGGTGCAGGAGGGGGCCAGGGACGAAGACAAAGGGCTCAAGCCCAGCCAGGATGTCCCTGGGAAGGACCAGGGCCTCCCCTCAGCAGGACAGGGGCCTCACTGATGCTGTTCTTGGGCTGGAAGATCTCGGTGTATTCCTCAGCGTTCTGGATCTCCGCCCGGGACTCCCGCTCGTCCCGGTCGTCCTCACTGCTGGGGCTGCGACGCTCACTCTCGGAGTTGCGTTTCACCCTGGGGTGCAGGGCAGAGCCCAAGGGCACCAGGCCCAGGTGAGTCCGGGTTGCCCCCACCAGCCCCCAGGAAGACCCGAGCCCACACCCCCAGGCGCCCACCTCTGAGGTTTGCTGCAGGTCGTGCTGGGCCGTTCATAGATGCGCCGGAGAGGGACACTGGGGTTGGGCGACTGCTGCGCCAGGGGCTGGCTGTCCTGCACGGGGTCCTGGGCCACAGTGCCTGTCCTGGTAACTCGTGTGAGGTCCACCACGTAGGAGGAGACGTTGCTCTGAGAGAAGGCCACGCCTATCTGCGGGAGCGGGGAAGGAGTGCGGGGGCCGGGGTTGAGGGGGCAGTGGCTTAGTAGAAGGGTGGACATGGGTGCCTCGGCTCTCTTACCAGCTGGTCATTGCAGATGGCCAGGTCGGCTACCTTGCCCCAGTTCACCAGAACCACGTCAAAGCAGCGCTCGGGCTCCCAGCCATAGACACGCAGCGAGTCCTGACAGCCACTGTACAGGCAGCAGCCATCGGGGTTGAAGAGGACACTCCTGGGCCAGGCAAGAGTTGGCCGTGGGTCCCAGGGCACTCCCTGTCCCCCACCCTGAGACACCGGGAGAGCCCAGGGAAGAGGCCAAGTGGAGACAGGGCACTGGGCCC